TTTTGGGAGTATTATCAATTATGTAAGACATGAAAGCAATAAAAACTTTGACTTTGAAACATGTGCATCACAGATGTTACGATCGTGGGTCCAATGGTATACAGAGGATGATTACAGGAAGAAGTGGACTCGGCTGTCTTCCGTAGGTTCACCGTGTTACACCAAGATATATATTAATGTAATTTAATTTAATGTATTATAATTGTCCTCCTTGTTTCTACTAACTTAGATCATAAGATTTGTTACTAACAAATATGGAGAGTTTGATAATAAATGTTATTTGAAATTTGAATATTATCATCATCTTACCTATTAAATTAAAATATATTTTCTCAATTAAACTAGACTAATTTCTGGAATACAATTAAGCACCACTAATGAAATTAGGAAGTGGATAATATTACAATAATTATTCGATGAGCTACGTGCCTTGATTCACAGGGGTACGTGCCTAAATAAACGTGCTTGGTCAGCGAAACGCCTCATACTAATCAAGTGATAATTTTGTGCCGATTCGACGAATTTCAGTAGGTTTTTTTGAGAAAATTTACGGCTATCGACTTTGACCTTTTCAAATTATACAAATAGATCTTGATAAATAATCTCTAATTACAGTTGCTTTAACTGTAACAAGCACAAGACCGCTCGTGTATGGAGTATTGCTGCCACCTATGGGATGGTTCCGCTACATACCAACTGACCACCTTGTATACAATTGATAAGCGTGACAAGGGGCTTATAGGTGACTCAGAATTATTAGAGGCGAAGCTGCAAAGCCTTGAACACCACCGTAACGTTGCCTGCTTATCGGTATTCTATAGCAGCGCTTCGCTTCCACATTTATATGGCGAACGGCTATGGAGTGGAATTCCCTGCCTGCAGACTTGTTCCCTGAACGTTACAACTTGGACCTTTTCAACGCGAGAGTGAAGACATTATTTAGGTCTGCATGCTCCATCGTCGACCTCATTGTCACTTTCAATCAGGTGAGATGGAAATCAAAAGTGCACTTAATTTTTAATAAATAAAAAATTTACCAACTTCAAAAAGGGAGGAGGTTCTCAATTCGTCGAAATATAAAGAGACCCCCTCACATCGTCTTTCGCCAACACACGCACAGCGTCGACACGACATCCGCGTGGCGTATACCCGGCCCTGTGCACTATTTACGTGTCTACTCCCATTCTCCGTCCGATATCCATTCAAAAGCAATTACTCAAATAAGTAATACTCGAAACTTGATGTAAGTGAGTTTGTACCCTGCTGCGTAAAACCTCCAAAACTGTATGGGTTACCAAAAATACATAAGGCCGACACCCCACTCCATAGTTAGCCAGATTGACACGCCAACCTACAAACTGGCTCAACACATGGCAAAGGTACTGTCACCATTGAGAGGGAACACTTCTACGCATGTCAAGGATTCATACCATTTCATCAGAGGAATCAAAAATATACGGTTAACTGATGATGACACCATGGTCAGTTTTGATGTGCAGTCGCTGTTTACCAACCTACCAGTAAAAGACTGCATTGAAATTGTACGTAGAAAGCTAAGGGAACATAATATGTCCATTGAATATGCATAATTATTAGAACACTACCTAATATCAGGCTATCTATTGTGGAATAATGAATTCTACCTACAAATCTACGGTGTAGCGATGGACTCCCCGGTATCTCCCGTTGTTGCCGATATTTTCATAGAAGACTTCGAGGAGCGAGTTTTAACCATGGCCCCAGCTAGACTGAAGATTTTCAAACGGTACGTTGATGATACTTTCACAATATTACCTAAAGATAGCATACCTTCTTTCTTGGACCATCTTAATTCTTTTAGTACTAAGATCCAATTTATTATGGAACAAGAGAATTGTGGTACTATAGCTTTCTTAGATGTTTTAATTAAAAGAAATCCTAATAACACCTTAGGCCATACTGTATTTCGAAAGAAAACCCATACACATAGGTACCTCAATGGTAATTCCCACCACCATCCTAGCCAGTTAGCTACCGTGGGCAAATCTTTGTTTCAGAGAGCACATGGTGTCTGTGACAGTAATCATCTGGCAGGGGAACTTCAGCATATAAAAGCAAGTCCTACATGCGAGTAAGTTGAAGATTCCACGCCTATGCCGCAGGCCCCGTGTGAAATCACCAACAGTCGAGCGAAGACATGCCATTTTACCTTACGTAAGAGGTGTTACAGACAAGATCGGAAGAGTCCTCAGGCGTGCATCTATCAAGACCTATTTCAAGCCCCTGAGGAAGATTTCTCAGTTCCTGAGACCCGTGAAATGTAACATCCCCTTACAGTATGCAGGAGTTTACAAGCTTGACTGTGAGTGCGGTCTCTCTTATATTGCACAAACGAAGCGAAGTATTTGTACCCGCGTCAAAGAACATATAGCTGATGTCAAACACCATCGCTTAAACAGGTCCACAGTCTGCGAGCATGTCATGGATAAACCTACACATTCAATGAAGTTTGGCAAACCCCAGGTCCTTGCAAAAGAAGTCCATTATCTACCCAGGATGCTACGAGAGGCCACTGAAATTAAAAAAACATCCTAATTTCAACAGGGATGATGGTTTCTCCGTACCACCAGTTTGGGATCCAATATTTCCTCTGATGAAAAATCCCAAACAGACAAGACTGCAGTACTAATTAATATGTTTTAGAGTATTCAAATTTCTATTATTACTTAATAATAAATTGAACTTAATAAAAATTTATTCAATAAAATAATTTGTAAAACTTAATGTAGCGTAAATTGGAATGTTTTCTTTGTAAAACTAAAAATCCTTATTAATTAAATAAATACCTTTATTTAATTAATAACTATTGTAACTATAGTGAAAAAATAGGGTGGTTTGCATTAATATAGACACAACTGGTTGAAGACTGTACCACCTGAGTACACCGTGACCATGGGACCTGTAAAGGGCCCGAAACGTCGGTTTGTTTGAAAAAACAAATACACGCGATTTAAATCCGGAAAAATAGTTTCAATTCCTAAGTAATACTCGACTAATAATGCGACTCGACGCATGATGCGAATGTAGCTTTATACTTCACATTGTTTTTTTGATTTGTACGTATTTTGACAGTAATTGTTTGGGATGGATGTCGGACGGAGAATGGGAGTAGACTCTCAGCATTCGTTCACTGACGCCGCGTTGGCGTTACGCCGCTGCCGAGGCGGCGAGTCGATGCTGTGCGTACGTTGGCAAGACGCTGACTGGGGTCTCTTAACCTACAGCTGTAGGTTTCATATTTTAGCAATAAACCAATTCATATGAGAAGTAAAAGTTCAACTCACTATTATCTATATTTTTTCAGTAATATCCATAGAACTACTTTCGAGTACTTATTTAGTACTTATTATTACTTTTCGGCGCTGATACTAAATACGACTTCTTATTCCGTTTTTGGCACGCACACTGACCGTTGCCACAGACAGGTGTGGGGCTCTGTGGTGCCTTATTATAAACATAATTCCAACTACATTTTCATTCAAAGTGACTGCGTAAACGCATTTGTTCCAAGCTGCCCCTGTTCAAAGATGCCTCCTTCTCCCCTATATTTATTATTGTCCATTCCAAATAGTTTACGAACGTACCAAAATTAGATAAAGTAACTCAGAGGTGGTGCAAACAAAATTAAATCTACCAATATTCTTGACCGTGCCAACTTTTTATTTAGGATTTAGACGTATACACATAAATATTGTTAGTACTTGCACTTTCTGGATTTAAAAAAACGAACATGCAGCTTTTTTCAGGTAAAGAAACGTAATGACAGCACTGGTAATTACGCCTTTAATCCACAAATAAAAATCAAACGCTTTATGTTTGCAAATCCCGTTATTGCTCCACATTTTAGGATTCAACTGCCTATGTTGCTTACATCGTTTTTGATTGATATTTACGAATTTGTATTCAACGTACTCGTAAGTAAAGTGAGACCCAAAATAGACGTTCTAACGTTATTCGTCCACATGAAAAATCGGTATTTTATAAAAAAAAAAGAAATTTAGCTTGTTTTTTTTAATTGACAATGACAACAGAAGATACCGGTAACTCGATTGACTAACCTTTGCTCGATAATAAAAAAATACAAATTTCTCAATGTTCATTTTTACAACGTTCACGTACGGAAAAATCAGTTCCTCGATTAATTTGATGCGCACCTCTCCTCACGCTTTTCAAAACCTACGCAACCACGATACTATTTCGCCTTAGAGATAGGACTTTCTTCCTCGAATATTTGACTAAAAATTTACAGAGCTTGGATTTATCTTTTCTTACGGTTTTATTCCTCAATATATTTGAAGACAAAATTAAAGTTACTGGTTATGGTTTTATTTAATACGAAAATTATAATAATTGGGTAATCATATTTGTAAGTATTTTGGCATACTACCTAAAAAACAATTCAGTGTAATTGTTTTGGTTTTTTAACGATTATTCAATTGATATTGTTTATAGCACAGATCATTATAGGTTACACGAGTTAAAACTAGGAATGATTGTTACTTCGTTATCTAAACAACAGAGAGAAAAAAATATTTGACGTAATTCGACATGCTACTCGTCCGTGAGGTGGGTGAAATGTGAAGTGAAAAAAAAGAACTCGCTATTGGATATAGAATTTAAAAACATCAAACAATTTTAAACACACGCCTTCAATTGTTTGATGGCAGTAAGGTACCCACTACAAAGCAGCCGTACAGTAATGCGCCATTTTGTATAAAATATCTTATACAAAATGGCGCATTGCGTGTACGAAATATTTATACACCATAAAGCTACAAAGTACTTTAACTGACATTAAAAGCTTAAATAGGACAAGGGCTAGATTAAAATCTTTGCAACTTGTAAATGGCGTGTAAGTCATTTAGTCACTTCCTTGGTCAATTAGTATTAATTTGAATATAAAAATAACCAAGCTTCACTTGGGAATTAAATTATTTCTTTCCGATCTAAATCGCGTCTAAATGGACCCTCTCATATTAATGCAAACTTTATTCAATCGGGTGTTGGACCTCATATCTCAATGGGGCTCCAATAATCTTGTTGAGTTCAATGCCAAGAAAACACAGGTGTGCGCGTTCACGGCAAAAAAGACACCATTCCTTCCCCTTCCTTCTCTTCAGGGCACACCACTTAGCCTACAGAGCAGCATTAGCATGCTCGGTACGGAGATTCGCTGCGATCTGAACCAGAGGGACTACATTGAAGCCGTGATAAAAACAGCTTCACGTAAACTCGGTGTCCTGAACAGAGTGCGACGCTTCTTCGCGCCGGATCAGTTGTGTCTCTTGTATAAGACACAAGTGCGATCGTGCGTGGAGTATTGTTCGCACCTCTGGGACGGTTCCGCTAAGTACCTTCTCGATGCCTTGGACAGATTGCAGCGGCGCGCTATACGCATTATCGGCAATGCAGAGGTCACTAATACTCTCGAACCTCTGCAATTGCGTAGAGATATTGCGTCACTCAGCGCTTTCTACCGTTTATACCACGGCGAGTGCTCTGAAGAACTCTTTGACCTTATCCCACCTTCTCCCTTCCTCCATAGGAGCACGCGTGCTGCTCTCCGGAGTCACCGCTATACTGTCTCTAGCATTCCATCGCGCACAAAGAAATTTGGTGACTCGTTTCTTTGTCGCACTTCCAAAAGATGGAACAATCTACCAGCACACGTATTTCCTCCTTCCTATGACATGGGGTCCTTCAAGCGAGGCGTGAAGAAGCACCTTGTAGGCCGGCAGGGTGAGGGCGACTGATGATGCGTTGTTTTCACGCTGCACCAGTTGTCCTTGCGTCTGGACTCCGTTTCATTTAACATCAGGTGGGACGGAGTCATCTGTCGAGCTTAGTATATAAAAAAAAAAAAAAAAAAAAAAAAAAAAAAAAAATTTTTCACTACAGTTACAAAAGTTAATTATATTAGACACCGACCATGGGATAAGAAAAATATAAAATATATACGAATTAGTTTAGATCCGGAAAAAATAGTTTCATTTCCAGTACAATAATTGCGAAAACCTCAAAATTCGAACGAGCGTCCACTCTCATATTATTTTCTACCACGAAATAATTCCAAAGAAAATATCAGCACCTTGAGCAATTTCCCAAGCAAATAAATCTAAAATGTTAAATATACGTCCCACTGCTCGGCACGGGTCTCCTCTGAGGCGCGGGATTAGGCCATCTGCCACACTGGCCCAATGCCGGTTGGGGACTTGGACTTCGTTGTGAATCGATGTGATATTTTCTTTTATGAACTTGTATCTCAATTCTCATTCTTTCCAAAAAATTGTAGTAATTTTATTTAATTTAAATTTGCAAATTTAAAGTAAGTAATTGATCCCAATCCATTTAAATCCATTTTTACTGTTGATTTGCTGTACCTACCTAATCTATGTAAAATTGGTTTTTGACATAAATGTAAGAACGGGGACCTGGTGACCTGTAATACAGGCATTTTTATACCTACCTCAGGCACCAGTCTCTCGCAAATAAAGTTTAATGTAAAAACTCATGAGTCAGGAAGCATTTATACCTTGTATGTTGAGAGAAAATAAATAAATTATTATAGGAAATGAAACTGTTTTTCCGGATTTAAATCGCGTATATTTGTTTTTTCAAACAAACCGACGTTTCGGGCCCTTTACAGGTCCCATGGTCACGGTTCACGGTACGCGATTTAAATTCGGAATAACAGTTTCATTTCCTATGTGTAACAATCGCGTAAACCTAAGAAATAAATTATTATTATTATTATATCTATTTTAGACTCTCTCTTTTATTATTATTATTATTATTATTATTATTAACCTTCTTAGACGTGCAGGTTGCATCACGTTGTTTTCAGAAAGGCACATGGTAAATTTCAAATTAAATTTCGTACGTAAATTCCGAAAAACCATTAGACTAAAAAAACATGTTTAACTTGTATCGAAATAAAAAATTAAGATGTTTCAATGTCCCCTGAAAAAAAATTCAATACAAAAATACAATTAACTGCTAACTATAGCTAGTAATCATAATACACACATAACACACCGTACTTAGACTTACAGTACCGAATGGGAAATGGAACGCAGATCGCTTTCGTTCTATATATTTTCTCATACCATTTGAAAAACAGCCCTTTTGTCCTCATCACATTCATGGGCGCCCAACCTTCGGTTACGTGAACAACAACAAAAAGGAACCTATTGTGCTTCTGTCGGTATCATGGAAATATGCATTGCATTCTCTTTCTTTTATATAGAGCATTGTGTCCATCTACATCTGTTAGCAAATCTTCATTTTTTACTATTTTGCAAGGTAACAATTAAATTAGGCACTGCCACTAGTAAGACTCTTTTAGTCTATCAAATAACGGCAGCGAATTCACCGCAACCACAGACACAAGGAGACTAAAAATCCCTTAATACTGCAAATGTCTGTAGAGAACGTGTACCACTTTATTATAAGGTTTACCATCTGCCCGCTTGTCTATTTGAACACTCGTATCAAAAAAATCTCTTGTTGACAGGCTGCTACTAGACAGATTGCATGCGCCAAATTGATTTAAACAATTACATGCAGTGAAAACCGACTGCAACAAGTTATCACCGCGCGTATAGTGTATTTGTTGATGTCGTTAAGGCACACATGTTACTTGTCGCTTATCACAGTACTTTAAATATTTAGGATTTAAAATACCTAATTTACTTTTTATTAATGAAATATACATATCAAATTCCTCAATTTTAATTTGTCAACACATTCACGTCCGTAGCCCCCGATGATATTCTGCGGCGAAATTTACGATTAAAAATGTAAACAGAGGTGGCATTACAAAAAATATTTTAACAATTATGCAAATGTGAAATAAAACCGTCGAGAAAAGTTTAATCGATCGTGTTTTTCTTGTGTAGGTACTCACAGATCAAATAAGTGTGTACCATTATGATGATTAAACCCTCAAGTAATTGTTACCGTTAGCCGTTACTGAAAAAAAAGTTGTTTCAGGCACTAAAAACTTTAATTGCTGCTTTTGATTGGTTTTGGTGAGATTTGATTATCATTCACATGCAGCCGATATGTTGATCACGACTACAGACATACATGGAATCCATGTCACAGTCTTATTCAATGGAATAGAGTAACGGTTGACCTGTTGACTGTGCTTCGGCGGGTAGTTTTTGTTTTGAACCTGCACCTATTTGTGACGATGCGACTTCCTTCCATTTTTATCACCTTTTCTCTGGTTCCTGGCCACTTGTTTTGAAATTTTGAATCGTTCTTTAATTCCGTTGCTTGTCATTCTCACTTTGTATTGATTCCGTCGTCACTCTCCGCTTAATCATTGAAGCGAGTAGTGTTACTTGTCTAATTCTGATCCTTTTACCAATTCCCAGCCTAAATAATGTGCCGATTTTAATATGAATCTAATGTAGTAATATTGTATAACTCGGCCCTTTCCGGGTAAGTCTGCCTCACGTTTCTGGTATTTAAGTAGGGAGTGTTTTGTAGCGTTGTACCTGTTTTATATACCCTTTTCGTGTTACAGTCTTCCTTTTTTCTTTCGACTTTACTTATGAAATAAATTATGTGGACCGGAGTATTCTATTTTGTTACATATATTACGGAGTATTCTATTTTATACATTAGCGGTTTCTAACCTCTTCATATGTTACTACGGATATGCTCCCAATCCAGAACATGTGTATTGTGCTTTCAAATTATAAAAGAAGGAGCGGGCTGAACTTGTATAATCTAAGTACCCACTTATTATTGTATTACCGAGTGTTACGCATGAATAGCACACGCGAAGCTTCGGTATGAATATGAATATCAAACCAGTGGCAAGAATTTATTTAATATCCTGGGATATCAAAGAGTATAAATTTGCTACGTGATCTGTTACGAGGAGCATCGTATTCAGTTTTTTTAGGAAAACTAGTAAGGAATAAATGTATTTACAGTTGCCTGCAGGTTTGCTTTTTTTTTTACCATCGTTACGTGTGATCAGACAAATTCGAATAAATGTGTAAACAACAAACGATCGACATATTTTTTGACGATCAACAATATGGAATTTAATAATTTAGGCGGTTTATATATAGTAACGAATCGTCAAAAATCGAGCAATTCTGTAGGCAGCTTGAAGGGATCAGATCAACGTCTTCCAGCCTAAATATGGCAAACCGGATTGTAAATCGTGATGATTTTTGTTTTATATTCTTTAAAACTAAAGGCTATAAATACGATAAAGAATAACAAGACTGCGATATTACGTTTATGATACTTTGCATTACATAAAATGTATGAAAGTGTCTGGACTAGACACCCAACCTATTTTCCACGCCACTGCCGACAAATTTGACTCGCGTAAAATAAGCGCGGAAAAAAATCTTTTATTTTAATAAAGTGTCAGCTCCGTTAATTGTTTAATGTATTTCAATATCGCAACACCGTACAATTAGTATATTTAATAATTTTAGTATCAGTAGAAGTCTTTGTACCTTTGTACCACCTTATTTATCTATTTGTGCCCCCAAGTAGTAATGTGCGTAGAAGAAAATTTTGTGAGCATTACTGCATTTTACGGTTTCGAAGGGTAAGGGCGTTGGTGAAACTGCAAGCACATGAACTTGTCAACTTATGTTTCACGGTACCGGGGGGCGCAGTGCAGTGCCCCTGCAAATCTTTGAGATTGAAATCTCTGAGCGGCACTGCAACTGTTATGGACAGGCGTATCGGTTGCCACCAGGCGCACGACTTCTTTGACCCGCCACTTGGTATCATAAAAAAAATGTTCCTGCTTTCGTACATCCTATTCATACTTTACGTTTATTTTTGTGATTGTTTATTTTTACAAACGTTCTTTAACTTGATTAGTAAAGTACCTACAAACGTGCTAAAGTACAAGTTAAAGTGTGAGAAACATTCAAAATGTATACGAAGTTGATTTGAACATTGTTTTGGTGTTAATCGATGATTTTACGATCAGCGCACATGTCTAGGACAAAATGACGTCACTCTTCCAAATACGCCCTTTGTAGAACCATTTAATTACAACAACTTAAAGTAAGGCTTCCTCAGCTTCGCTAAAACGCATAAATTGAAACTAAATTGAACAAAACCAAATATAAATTTTGTAATTAATTTGCGACGAAATTGCGACTCCCAAGAAATAATCTACGTAGTCACAAAGTTGCAAAAGGAGCGTGGGTTGGGGGGAAATGGACCTTAGTGTTGTCTCTGTCGCCCCTAGAGCTTACTTCGGCCAATTCACCCCGATTTCTCTTAATTATAATTTGTTATACGTTGACCAAGCTTTCTAAATGTATGTTCACATAACGTTACAGACATTGTGTACAGTCGTAAATATTTGGAGTAGACGTAACTAAATTGATAAATCGATAAAAAATTATCACGACCTCATCAACAAAAAAGTGTCATGTTCGAAGCAAAATAACACACACAACTCATAGCCCCACACTAAGGAATCCCTGTATCGCGGGTGCCATGGGCACACACATAGACTATCGCAAATTACACCCAAACTCACGAGAGAAATAAATATAGGCCATACAAATATTTCTTCCGGTCCGGGAATCGAACCCGGGAGCCTTGCGTGGCAGTCCAGCATGCTAGCTGTTCGTCCACGGAGGCAGGTAACAGCAGCAGTATTTTGAAAATTCAAGTTGAAGAGTCTATACAAAACTCAAATGGCTTTGGTTGATTCCGCACAACAGTGAAAGCGTTGAATACATCGATTTGGAAA